ATCGTATTTTTTTGCATGACTTTAAGGGGGGCGTTAAAAAATAATTCTGGACATTTCAATTTTTCACCTGCCCCTCCCCCCTCTGCCATACATTATGAACGTAGCCTAAGGTGCATGTACATGGGATAATTTATTTGGTTAGTCTATTGACTACCAGGGAGGGTAACAAAGTACCTTGCATAACTTTTGTCTTGGTCAGGGTGTAAGTAGCTGTCATGAAAACAATGTTAACACTTTTTAATAAAAATGATAGTGAAGGCTTGCTTTGAATGGGAAGAAATGGCTGGGAAACCTAGATGTGCAAGTAAAAGGTAGTCAATGAAATTTATACAAATAAAATAAAAATGAGAACGAGCAATATATGTAGTGACATGGCAGAAAAGTAATTATACAGCATAATACTTGAAAGTATGACCACATTTAACCTAATAAGCATACTTCTATGCACTGGCTTTTGTACATTAAACCAACACATTTCGATGCGAGCCTGCTGGTTTTATCAAATAAGACATTTTAAAGCTCATTTGGTTGCAAAAAGCTTTGCTCAGGGCCTGTTGAAAACTACTTTACTGGGATTTTATCATGTTGAAAGAGCATCATATAACTATGCACTACTATAATTTGTCTATATTTTATCCAAAAAAAWTTGTCCGAAGATAAACATTCTTTATCATAGCATATGACTATTAGGCCTTGGGTTTTTATCAAAATAAGTAGATTAAATAAGCATTTTTAAGATCTTGTGCAGTAGTTTATATGAAGGCGACGCACGTTGTCTCTGCACCTTTGTCTTCACTTTGCTCGCGCGCGCCGCCAATGACCAATGTTCTTACCTTTTTTGTCATTCGAAGTAAAAACCCTGCTAGAAAAAGTAGAAAAATGTCGGGAAAATGAGAAACGAAATCTCTGCCAGGCGTTCTCGAAAAAAACCGAGGTCCTGGGGATGTATTCACTGCTGACCAGATGGCGGGAAAGTCAAAACAAACAAAATGGCGGCTGAAAGTCCAGTTGAACTCATCGAGTTTATTCGTCCCTGCAGAAACCAAAATAACCTTTATGTTACGAATATTAGTAGGAATTTAAGCGAGGATGAAGTTCAGGTGCGACTTGTCTGTTGTTTTACCTTTTGTTCATGTTACAGCGAATATATAAGCAAAAATGTTGTCGTTTTGATTGAAAACGTTTTGCAGATGAAGCTCACACAGATCTTTTCAAAGTTTGGACTATTGTACGAGGTACAAGTCTTTGATGCAAGGGAAAACACATCTGGTGAGTTAATTCGTGGTTGATACTAAAGATGGTAGTGATTCCCTACTRTGAGATGGTCAAAACAAGTGAAAAGCGTGTCTCCTTGCAACAGGCCTTGATCTCATTTGTGATATTAAATACCATGGTATATGCCCCCAGTGGGTGTAATCAGGGGCGGCGGAAGCTGAAAATCTTTGGGGGGGAGGGGGCACTGCAAAAAATCACAACAATAACTTAATAACAGTATTAAAAATCGAATCTATGCATTTATATTTCATGTGAACCAATATTTTTTTCAAGGGGCCAGGCCSGCCCAAAAAAATTCGTGAGGAGCACGCGCCCCCCCAGCCCCCCCGGTTCCGCCGCCCCTGGTAATAGATATAAATCGGTCATCAACCCCTACAGTATATGGATATCAGCCTCTTAACTGAAGGGGCTACCCTGYGTAAACAAAGTCTCTCTTTTCTATTGTTGCCTCTATTAACTCTGGAAAAACCTAAAAACCACATGAATTTAAAGCATCATATATAAATATGTTTGTAATTGCTTACATGAATTTTACTTACCATAATTTCAGAGGAACCTCAAAGTTTCTGTTACCATGACAATGATACACGAAGTTCCTTGTATGCCTTTGTTAAATTTTACTCCACCAAAGCTGCAGCAAGAGCTCAGAGGGAAACCAATGGTAAATGGCTGATTGGGGGACAGTTTCTCAAGGTAAGGTTAATTGCTTGGTATCAATCAGTTGACTGAATCTCATTACCAGCCAATGATGACAGGCCAACGATGCCCGTCATGTATTATYAATCATTATCAGCTATCAGTAAATGGCAAAMACTGCCATAAGAAGCCGCAAGCCCRATTTTTTGCGTTTGGGCACATTCAGATCTGCATGTTTAGAATATTTCWGGGGGATTAAGAGTGGGAGAAGTGTGAAGCTTTTGTTTTATGGCCAGCAGGACGCCTAACTGGAAAGATCGCTTCATATTGAAATGTGTTGAAAGGCGTTGATCAAATTAACTTGCTTGTCATTCTGTGGTTATTACCTTGGTAACATTATGAGGGATCCTGGTATTCGCAATAAAATTGGGCTTGCGGTTTGTTATGTTGTTGTACATTTTGTAAACTTGCCATTTTGCTGGTAAATTATTTGGCAAACAGGGAGAGAATACTAACTTAGTGTTTATTTATCAGATATTTAAAAAGAAATAGATTCAAAATGTACACTTTTCTGTAGGTACAATTTGCCAATCGCAAGAAAGTTGTGGAAACACCAGCTCCATTGTACATGGCCAGATGTACAGAACTGGCTAACCATTACTTAGGATTCAATGGATGGTCAACAAAGATTGTTAAGGTGATTAATGCATGTTGAAGTGGTTACACAATTATAGCATGGAAGAATTAAGCAATAGACCTTTTTGCCTTGGCCATAATATTTTCTCATTTCATTGTGTCATTAATTCCTAGAGAATAAGATTCTTTGGTTGAGTTCTACAATCCATATTCATGTGTCTTCTCATGCTCAACTGTTTAAGGCTGCAAAAGAAACTATTATTAGGKAATGATTTAAGGTCTAAAATGGGAAAACGGTATGCCCAGGTTAAACAGGTCTATCAATGGAAGAGTTGTGCCAATGCTCAGATATCAGCTATATAAAACCTGTGGATTCATAAAGTTAGGTTAAAAATAATGCCATARATATCTATTTGTTTGTTGTTATTTACAGATTGAGAAACTTGATGAGAAGACAATGGACGACCAAGAAATTAGTGCTTTTATGTACAGATCTATTGTAAGATTAGARATCAAAGCTCATGATTGTTACTGTGAAGGTATTGGTTACGGTGGTGATAGAAAAACATTAAAGCAAGGTGAATAGTGTATTGCTAATGATGACAATGATGAAAGTATGTATGATGATGCTTTTAATTTCCAGGAAAGTGCCTAAGCTGATCAAACTTAATARAATACTAATAATTATTAATCCATTACTGTATTTTCCAGAGAAGGACCCCTTGAAGAAACTAGAATTGACAGCAATTGCAAAGAAGACTGCACACAGACATGCCTTTGAAAATGCATTCAAGAGAGTAATCATCATCGCTTTGGATAACGGCAAAGTATCAGTTGAGATCAACCAGACAGATGTATCAGACTGYGAGCTGATTGGCTTATCAGAAGATGGGGTTGTTCATATTAATCATGTCGAAGAACACACTACCAACAGTGATGAGGAGATTGAAGATGAAGACATACTTGAGGCATTAAATGCTCTGATSGATCCTACAGAGAATTGAACTCAACCATAATAATTATGTAGTGGAAGCACTAAATGGGACAACATTTGAAAAGTGAACCAATCTCAATGTGACAAGATTGAAGATAAAAAGATACTTGGGGAATTAAATGCTCTGATAGATCCTACAGAGAATTGAACTCAACCATAATAATTATGTAGTGGAAGCACTAAATGGGACAACATTTGAAAAGTGAACCAATCTCAATGTGACAAGATTGAAGATAAAAAGATACTTGGGGAATTAAATGCTCTGATAGATCCTTTATTGGATTAAGCCCATCCATAATTAGAGTATAGGTACACTAAATGGGAGGACATCATAAAGTTATTCAATCAAGATGTAAAGTGAAATCTGTAGCCGATCAGGAGAGAGCAGAATTATTGTCACATTGAACTTATAGCTAATCATCTTTCCTTCTCATGGTCATCGATAGCATCTTAGTTGTTTGTCAGTCATTTAACCAGACGTAAGCTGGGTTGCTTGCTCCTGATTGGCTTTGGTCAGATTACCTAATTTTTAGTCTGCATTATGATTGGTTAACTCTGTTTAAGTAGTCCCAGTTACTGTGTCTGCACTTTGTAACAAGTTTAATAGACAAGACGACGCTATTCAATGGGTACTTTATRCCACTTTATTTGAATATGTTTCAAGAGAACTGGGAATAAAGGAGCAAAAAAGACTGATGAATAAGCTTAATCATTAGTCTTTTTTGCTCCTCAATTGTGAATATGTAAATCAGTGCTTGTTATCAGTATTGCTGACGATGGGAGCTGAATATCTCGAAACATGCTAAAATAAAAGCGTATGAAGTACCGCTTGAATAGCATCGTCTTGTCTATCAAACTTGTTGAATAGTGTCATCTCAAGATATCAACTAGTGTACATGAAAAAATATTTTATGAAGGAAGACATATATCTAATAACTGCAAATTATATAAACACAGAAAAGACAGAATAAAATAGCTGCCAGGAGTATTCTTATTCACAATATTTATTGCCCTGACAACAAACTCGATCATTAAATTTTAGAACAACAAACATTTAAAATCAAATCCATCAAGCATGTTATAGTTTTTTGATTAAATGAAGCAGAAACATGAGTTTCATCATTTTATCTTAAGTTACTTTTCTTGCCCGAAACATTAGAGTTTCTTTCAATTATGGCAGAAAAACTCGACTAAAACTCAAAAATTATGGGGATTTTTGTATATCTTAAAATATTGTGCTTTCTCAAGCCTGCCTGATAAGTGTACGTCTGTACCTATCCTCCTCATGCCTAAATGGCACATAGGGCCTAAGTCAAGTGTACATGCATGAAACAAACAAGGAGGAAAAGTTAGGATTAACACCGAAGGTTCCAAAGACCCCCACCCCCTCCCCCCAATGAAGCATGTAGCATTTTTTGCTCAAGGTATTGTGGCTTACATACAGTAAATCCTCTATTTAGCCTCCCCTCTCAAATAAGCCTCCCCTCTCTAATAAGCCCCCCTTTTTAAAGGAAGAAATTTGTTAGGCCCCTCTCTCTTTTTAGCCCCCCTCCCCTTCCCCCTCTCTCCAATAAGCCCTCCCTCAAACATGCCTGAAATAGATAAGCCCCGGGGTCTAAATAGAGGATTTACTGTACCTTCTCCAATTTGGGTGCCAAGCATTATGTGGTACAATATTTAGGAAGCACTTCTAAGGTGAGCCCTGGGCAAAATTAAAATCAGGAAAAGAAATTTTGGGTTTGGATTTGCTTTAAGAATGCACCATTGACAATAACATTATCAAACAACCTTAATCTCAACTAATACCCCAACAAACTACTGCAAATCATCCTGTCCCTGAACTAAGATCTAGTGGAGTACATGTCTTTATCTTCTGGGTTTGATTGTCCATGATCTTCAACCACTTCAGTCTTCTTGCTTTGCTCTCTAGATTCTTCCACCACATTACCAACAACTGATTCTGCATTCTCCGTGGCTTCAATGATGACCGGCTTTTTACTCTTAAAGAACCATCCAAGGAATGGAACATTTGAGAGATAAGACTTGTCAGACTCTTTGGTCTCAAGAGCACTGCTTATAGGCGTAATGTCCACTTCCTTGATTGTGGGCAACACAGGCATCTCCTCCTCTGTGGTAGCAATTATTAGTTCATCAATTTTCATTTCATCAGCAGGAGTTACCACCTCTATTGGCTTTGCTACAACTTCCTCTTCCTTTATCAACTCTGATTTAAATTTTTCCTGTTTGACCTCAGCCATTTGTTTTTTCTTCTGCTCATCGTACATTGACTTTAGTTCCATGAGCAAGACTTTGGTTTTCTCATAGACCTTCTGGGAAACAATCCATGCTTTCTGAGGATAGCAAACAGAAGCAGCAGCTGTACCCAGACCAACAGAATAGATTGTTCTCCTTATTCTTCTTTCTGTTATAGAAGGTGTAATATAAAGTTAGGATACTATTTGTGGTTCCTGCAAAAGATAGAACACTAAAGGGCTGATGTATACTTTCTTTTGTTCCGACTTCCTGCTTCAAACAAAATATGGATTTTAATTTTTTAAATTAAGCCCTGAAACAAGTTTTTCACTCAAAACATCAATTTTATTTTTTAAATTAAGCCCTGAAACAACTTCTGGGCTGATAGGAGTCAGCATATGGCTAACTCACATAACCAAATTGAACTTAGTGGGTTGGGTTTAGCAGAGGCAGGAAAACTGGAGGATTTGGAGAAAAACCATAAAATCAAGGTAGAGAACCAAATAACTCTTCTCACATGTGATGGTWATTCCAGGAATCAAACAATAGCTCCTTCTTCCAGTACCGGACACAGTTTACATAATTCAATAGAAACAACAAAATACCCCAAGTTTTACAATAGAACCACGCAAACAAAGAATACGATACGTTTGCAGTACATTCTACCAGTGTAACACCTGACACATTTTATATAATACAACAAARACATCAAAAGACCTTGAGTTCTACAAATATAGAACGAAGCTTACAAAGAATGTGATASGTTTTCAATACATGCAGAAGGACCCCAAACCATAGACCCAAGAGGTTAGAGGTTCTAATTAGTGCATGTACTGCCACTGCATCGCCCTTGAGATTTCATCAAATTTAAAATAGTGTGCTTAAGGAGTTTGAAACAGGAGCCAAAAACCTTGAAGACTTAGAAGCTGTAGAGGGTACAGAAAGATCAAAACCCATACCCCAAACAGGTACATCCTAAAAACTGCCAAACTTATTGTAGACTGAGTTTTATTTTAAATATTTAAGCAAATAATTTGAAAGACACTAACTTCCTCTTCCCGCAAGGATGGCACCAATAAGAACACCGCTACTGATAACAGCAACTTTAATTTGAAATGTCTGGTCAGTTGATAGTAATGCCATAAATTCTGAAATAAGAGTATCATAAATCACAATTAGGTTGTTTGTGTGGTCCAAAGACCAAAGATTAATACATATTACTGATTCAAACGACATGTTATTTACAGTTGAACTAGTGTTAAACTGTCTCAAGTTTCAGGAAGTGGATGCCCATGGGAGCATATGTAAGGGCCAGAGGGTGACAGGGTGGGACTCTGGGGTAAAAGTATTGGGTATGCTTGTTGTATCTCTTAGGGGAAAAAATTGAAAGTTGAAAACCACTAGTTCATGTTAAATATGTAGTAATGTTTATAAAGTTTATTATTTGGAGCTTACCAGTTGTCCTGTCATTGGCTGTTTCAGCTAAAGATTGTCCTTTGCCAACAAGTCCCTGTAAAACCACAATATGGTTTAACTGCAAAATATATCCTTTTAACATTTGAAATTTCTTGCTTTAGTGGGTTGCCTGTGTATGTGTGGGTGGTGGATACAGTATGTGGTAATCATTAATATGTTACTGAATACTGTCTCTGTCGACCATGATCAAGGTTTGGGCTTGGGATTCCTATGTATCACAAATTTTGTGATACATAGGAATCCCAAGCCCAAACCTTGATCATGGTCGACAGAGACAGTATTCAGTAACATATTAATGATTAACATTTAATGGTGAGAGAGACTAGGGATAAAAAGGAAATAAAGAGGAGCTAAATGATACAGGAATCCCAAAAAGAAAACTAAGGAGCAAAAGCAATGAGCCTTTTTCACACGGCAGCCATGTTGATGTGAACAATAGGTTCTACCATGCAAAGTTTCGCATTCAAGTGACTGAGAATAGACTTATGTGGGTTGAACAAAGATTTTTATCTTCATGGAAAAAAGTCTGGCCGCCATGTGGATAAAGGTCCATAGGTGGAGGTACATAGGTGTGGGCTAGTAATTRATAATCATAGAATCCTTTACCTTGGCACTATCCCAGTAACTGAAGACCTTCTTTCTGCCAGTTGACACTTTGATCTCAATATCAGTWGGGGGTTCTTGCATGATTACCTCTTGATTGAAGACTGACTTGTCATAAATATCAAGCTACAAATGACAAAATATCAATCTTATTAGCAAAATGACAAGCTAAGCATCACCCCTTATTTACTCCTGAAAAAGATATAAATTAGGTTTATCTAAATCACTACATGGCATGTTGGTTTTACATTTTGTAGAGATAGGAAAACCAGTARTATTTGAGGGATTTATAAAAACATCAGGATCAAGAAAGGGGAGCACACAAAAGAATTCGAGTCGCACGGCACTTTAGCAATAAATAGAATGGATTTTCTTTCATTCAACAGGGAGGCAGGTTTTTTATGGGTTACCAAGTGAATCCCACCACTCCTCCCTCTCTGATWAGAAAGTGAACATTCCTATGATTAGTCCAACATTGTTGGTCATATCATGTCCAGTCACTGAGCACCCATTATTCTTAGCCCTGAAGCTTAGCAGGGGTTTGAGGCACAAGCTTTCAACAAAGCCAGATGAACAACTGAAAAGTAATTTGTACATTTGGTCAGTTTAGTACCTAAGATTCATGGTCCTTACCTCCATTGGATGGACTTTGTTTCCATCTGCATAAACTCTTCCAAGAAAAAACCCAGCTGCAGGGATTGATGCAGCAGCCCAAATACTCGTCTGAAAATGCAATCAAAGACCAATAAATAAAAGATTCCAGTTTATAGTTCACCAGTCCATATAATACGTGTAGTCGAAATCTTTGCAAATTCTTATTTTTTCGCCCAATTCTTAGTCTAATTTTTWAACTCAATTTACGTAAAAATAGGATTTCCTCGAGTAAAAATTAAACCAAAAGGACTAGTAATGTAATTATTAATTAACTTCAAGACATAATTAAAACAAACATCTAAAAAGAATTAAAACTATATCTTTAACTAACCAATCTGCTGGCGGCCGCCATCTTGGATCTGCCACTCGACCCAGACTTCCTCGGTTATTATATGTAATACCGCGTACCACAAATAACGCGGGCAGGRATTAATGTAACAACAACAATGACCGGTTTCCATCAAAGTTGTCCAAAATTTTCTCTTTTAACTAACTKGACGTTTTAATGCTTGATCGCAGCGAATCCAGGCATTATGAGTGGTGAATCCAGTGTGCATAAGCGAGAAGTCATGACTGAATCGATAAACGACTTTAACGAGGCGAAAGAGTCCAACGAACCGAGCGACGTCGAACACAAAACCGGTGAAGAAACGCCGACGAAGTACAACAAAACCTTTATTTTACTTTGTACTCATTTGAATGCTGTGTCGTATTCAGTGTGCTTCTGGATTCAAATAGGAGTTTTACCGGTAAGATTYGTGTTTGTGGTCTGACTTTAGGTAGGAGATACTCCCAACCAATCAACGACTGCCATGAAGTCAGATTAGGGGTCGCTTACATTACGTAACACCTTTATAAAAGATTATAAATTCATTAAACAAAGTTATCAGCAGATATGTTGTCAACAGATATGATGTCAGGAATTCTTTACGGTTGAAAGTATAAGCATTATARTTGCTTAATTTAAAATAAAATTGACAATTTTGCAAGGAATTGTGGAGAGTGTTAGGAATTGTCATCATACCACATAACGATATCCCCTCTCCTCCCTCCAAAAAATATAATTATTTCTGCAAGTGATGGTCCTTAGGTGCTTCCTAGGACCATAGAGCACCTTTAAAGTAAACATGGAGAAGAAAAGGCTAGTTCCAATTTAATGCAAATATCCCCATTTTTTTTATGAGCTCCTACCCCCTCCCCCAACTTTTAGTCTTCATTTGGCTTACTTGCTAAAGCAGTATACAAAGCTTTCATGCTTTTTGTTTCCTTCAGTATCTTTCAAAGAAGCTTGGTGCTGACCCAGTAGTGTTTGGATATCTACAAACCACCTTCGCAGTTGTCCAGCTGTGTGGAGGACCAATTTATGGCCGATTTGGTGATCTGTTTGGCAGCAGGGCAGCTTTGAGTCTAGCGTTTTTTGCAGCTGCTGTTAGTTATGGGATTCTTGGCATGTCAACTTCTGTTACGATGCTGTTCCTTTCACGATTGCCATCTATTGTTATGCATGCAATGCAAGGTAATTAAATTCCTTGTTTTTAGACATTGTGCATCTTGCACAGGTAAATAAACCAGGTGGAGCATTAACTTGGTGTCCTTCTGCATAATTTATTCCCATATTCTTCAAACAGAGTAATGGTTTTTCTTGCTAAGGCTGCGTTCATAATGTATGGCAGAGGGGGGCAGGTGAAATTGAGGGGGGATCGGGARAAAGTTKGGTAGGAAAAAGGGGGGATGGGCAAATATTTATCAGAAAAATGGGGGGATGTACAATTTTTGGAAGAAGCTACAAGCCTTGCTTAGGGGGGATCATATTTTTTTTGCATGACTTTAAGGGGGGATGTTAAGAATTATTCTGGACATTTCAAATGTTCACCTGCCCCCCCCTGCCATACATTATGCACCCCCCTGCCATACATTATGAACGCAGCCTAAGGCAAATGTTTTCCCATTTAAAATATCTTTAAATTAAGATTGTTGCATTTGTTTCATTTTTGCTAGGTTCACAGATGATTGTTACAGATATTTCTGATGAATCAGGTATGAAAATAATGCTCCCCAAATAAGCATCTACTTATTTTTACAGTATTTGAGGCTCTGTTAGGAGTAAATCCCAAGAGCTACTAATCAGCAACAAACCACAGACTGCTCTCATGAATTACTGACAGTGAGGTCCTGTTAGTGGTAAAATTCTGACAAGCAACACGACGTTTCAAAATTGCAACATAGGTAGTTATAAAAGTCAGATGGAGGACATGGGTATACCCCCTTTAAGAGGGCCTCAATATTTTTTATCTCCAACAAGTTATGGGAGAGAAAGAATGGATGATATTTACTGGTGATGCACTGCTTTTTCCTGTTGTGGTTACATGGGGTCATTCTTCCTTAAACGCACCATCAGGTTCTACTTCACCAAAATCAATAACAATKATTCATTCCCTATGTGATTTCTTTGTGACTTGCAGAGCGTTCCAATGCACTAGGCAAGCTTGGTGTGTCCTATGCTATTGGGATGGTCATAGGTCCCTTTCTTGGTGGTATTCTCAGCAAACTCTATGGTTTACAGTTTGCTGCCATGTGTTCCTGTGTCGTGTCTTTGGCCAGTGCTGTCATGGTTACCATGCTTCTGCCTAAAAATACAAAGGCTCTCTTCCATAAGACGAGTCATTCAGGTACCACACGAGTCTTCAAGTTCACTGTGAGGTTGCTTTACCGTTTCTTATTTCAAACCTCAAACCTCTAGGCTGATTAAAGTCAGGGCATGGCTAACTCACAGATTGAACCTGAAACGACCTCTGGGCTGATCCAAGTCAGTTCACTCACAGATCACATAAAATAGTAATTATTCTAATATTAAGAGTAAATGTTTTGAACCCAGGTGTTGAATGAGATTTTCTCACTGGACTCTGAAGATGACTTCCTGCTCAGGTTGTTGAAACGTCAGTCACCACCAACAACAGTCTTACTCAATACTAACCTCACCTGGAAGATCAAATTTCACACCAAATATTCTAATRCYGATGTCTTTTGTTTCATTTAGATGYACCAAGGTCATCATCAAGTGTGTTTGACTTCAAGAAGATCTCAGAATTATTAAAGATTCCCTCTGTACTGTACTTGCTCCTCCTCAAGATTTCTACTGCTATCCCATTTGGTATTTTCCAGTCAATGTTTGCAATAGTTTCAATGGAGTATTTCAAACTGGATCCGCAGCATAATGGATTTGTTTTGTCATATGCTGGTACACTTTCCATTGTAAGTTGGATGTTGATGTGGCTTTAGTAGTACGAGACYAAAATATCTAACAATATCTCTCATTCAGAAAGTTTTACCAGGGAGGAGGGTGAGGGGGATTCATTGTCATTAGTATGGAAGTTGTTCCACAAATTCTGTGAGRTATAATTGGGATGAGGGTGTTCAACTTACTGTATTAGTAACAGTATTAAAACATTAGATACACCTTGTTCTTGTCGTAGCTTGTTCAAGGCATTGGTGTTGGATACGTGACCAAGAGATTCAATGAGACAGATCTTCTAAAGTGGTCCATTGCTTCTATTGCTGTTGCCTATGCTCTCATGGTAAGTAATAGCATTCTTTTCTTCAAAAATACATGTATAATTGGCATTTGCCTTGTCATCATGTCTGGTCATTGAGCAGATATTTTTTAGTCCATCATGTGAGATTATTCATGTGTTTCCTTACTGATTTCTGGGTAACAGGTCGTCATGCATAAATCTATCATGTGGGGATATTTTGCGGAATTACATTTTCAAACATTTAATAATGAGATTATTAATACTAATTAATGCTTATCAACTTGATTTCAGTTCATGGTCACAGACATCTATCAATTCTGTGCTGTCTTGGTTCCCTTGGTTACTGGCGGCACTATACTGACTATCATTTCCACTTCTGCCTTGACTAAAGCCGTCGATATAAAAGACACTGGTGTTGTCTTGGGCCTTTCCATGGCCTGCAATTCTTTTGTCAGGAGTCTTTCTCCTACGCTTGGTGGATTTTTATTCAAGATGTATGGATGGCCAGCATTCGGTGGATTCGGCTTCGTTGTCAATGCTGTGATAGTTTTGTTTTTGATGGTTTATGGGAAGAAAAGTCTTTAACAGTTACTTGAAAGAATTTTAATATTATTACTTTTATTATTTTAGATTGTTTAGAGCRGGGCCCAGGGGGGGGGGGGTACTCCCCTATATTCACTTTATGGGTACGTGCCGCCAAACAGGATATGGTTTTCAGCGATTCTACTCTGGAACAGGGTATATAAAATCGTGCTCGCTCTGGAACAGGGTATATGAAATCACRCTGTCTCCTTTTTGGAACAGGGTATCGATTTTCGCAATACCGGAACAGGGTATGGTTTTCAGCAATCTTGCTCTGGAACAAGGTATGAATTTCAGCGATTTTCCTCCAGGGAACAGGGTCAGGGTTCAGAGGGCTCAGCGTCACATCCCTACCCTAAACAGGCAAGAGTACCCCTGGGGGGGGGTTGTTTTAGTGAAAACAAAAATATACCAGTAGGCACATATCACAACTTTTAAATGTAAATTTGTGATAATAGTTTTCAAAGCATGACAATGTTTCATATTTAACTTAATGTCATTTCTAAATCAAATGAAAGTAAAAAAATATAACTCTATAAACTTTTATCCCTATATTTAAAACTTTTACTTAATCATTGCTCATGTTTATTAAATTAGAAATTATACAGGAAATATTGCCCGCAATAATTTATGACATTAATGGAATCGATGCTAGTCTATTTTATCCTTTTTTATTTTGGTTTAGCTCATGATCAGTCTGTTGAATTTCAGTTTTTCCCTATCTGGACATTTATTATTTATACCGTTTTGCAATTTTTGTTGTTGTTTAGCAGCAGTCCGTTATCTCAGGATTACCAGACCAAGGTTAGAGATAGAAAAATACCACTCCCTTGTGCAGCCAATCAGAACACTTATTCTTAGGATACCAGATTTGAAAAAAATAAATTGTATTTTATTTTAGCTCCTGACCATCAGGAATTTTAAAACATCAGCAATTTCTACAACAAGGAATAAAATCTATTTTATAGTCAGTGCCGATGAACCTTTCTCATGCAACAGCCATGTTGACTGGTAGGATAGATTTACCCTGCGTAGCCTGGCATTCAAGCGCTTAGTTGAAGTCATATAGGGTTAAACAAAGATTTTTATTCTCATGGGAATGATTATGCACTATGAGATCAAAGTTCGTTATCAGGAAGCCATAAACATTGCTGCTGTACTTTTACTAGGCAAACTGATCATATTTTTAAGCTCTAGTTAACTAAAGRTAAATATGTTATGACAAAGAATAGACCCTCAAGTTTTTGTCGGTAGGTAATGGTAGGTATGTTTGACAGTAGGGTGTTGTTTGGTTGGTTGTCAGTAGGATGTTACTTGTCAGTAGGTAGATAGTAGGGTGTTGGAAGGCTTGCACTGGGGCGTCAGAAGGTTGTCAGTAGGGTGTAACTTGTCGGTAGGGAGACAGTGGGGTGTTGGAAGGCTTGCACTGGGGTGTCAGTACGATGTCAGAAGGTTGTCCGTAGTGTTACTTGTCAGTAGGTAGACAGTGGGGTATTGGAAGGCTTGCACTGGAGTGTCAGTAGGATGTCAGAAGGTTGTCCGTAGTGTTACTTGTCAGTAGGTAGACAGTGGGGTGTTGGAAAGTGTGATGAGTGGAGTGTCAGAACTGTGTATTGGTTGCTTGTTGATAAAATGTTGATAGTGTCAGTAGCCAACAAACATGTTCTTCAAATGTCTAGCACCGGTAATCACTTGTATTTCCTCATCATTGCTCCACAGCTAAAGCGAGGACTGTTTGGTTTACCACCCACACCGGTATTCCTAGTACCACCCAGAGGTATAGCTCGTTGTTTTGGAGGMGAAGGTCTGTTAACAGTATTTTGGCACTTTGGAATGTGCCGCTCTGCAACTATTGGGTTAAACCTTCGTTGACAAAACCTGCACAAGACATAGTCAGGGTTTTCACTGGGGGGTGGGGGTGGTAGGTCTGATAACTTGCCTCCTTTATCAAGATGTTGCTTTACTTTTCTGGCATCACGGATGGATCGGATRAAGTCCTCTGAAATGTAAAGAGCAATGAAAATTGTTGAGTGTAAATAAATAGTTCTTTTCTGAGAGTGGTAGGGAGTGTAAAAGATTAATGAATAACATGAATAACTTAGTCACTCACTAGTGCTTATAGAATGGGAAATGAATGGGTTAGAAGGTGTGGTGGTGTACGTAGATTGAATCTTTAGACAGTAAAAAATCAGAAACCGACTAAGATTCAGTGTTAACCACAAGCACAGGACCAATTTTAAAACTCCTACTTCTACTCATTCTAGCACTTGTGTCAGATTTAGAGGTCACTAATGACAGGAGGAGGAGGGAGAAAGGGATGGATGGATGGGCAAGCGAGTAAGTGAGCAAGCAATCACATTTCTTTCTCACCATGTTTAGCTCTCCAATTATTCTTTGGTTTAGGTGGTTCTGGTTTCTTGATTCTTGCATATGAAGCTGCTTCGGTCCCTTGTGTTCTTGCTTTAGTAGCATCAAAAACTTTTCGCTGCTTTGAACTAGTCTTGRCACAAATTGACATGTGCTTTGAAATCCTGTCTGAGGCAAAGTTGCGGCCACAGTTTGAGCAGGGGACAAGGTTWACATTTTGTTCAGAACCTTCTGATGGTCCATCTGGATAGTTCCCTGCCRGAGAGGTGCCATACTGACCATACTGACTGCTGTCGACCTTGTTATAACTACCAAGTGKTTGGCGTTTAGGGCTTGCCTGTGGGGAGCCCTGATTAGAAAGAGGTGACAATCTTGCAGGGGGGCGTGTTGAAGAACTGGCTTTCTTGGCAAATGACTTGGGTGATGATCTTTTGCCTGACGCTTGTCTTGCAGGTTGAGTTTTGCTGAATTTCTGACCATCTCCAGATCTTAAGCCAGGACTTCCACTAGATACTCTTTCACGTGTAAACGTTTCTTCCCTYGGTACTCCCATTCTGTTTGATGCTGATCCAAGGTTTGTGCTGGAGTTACGTGGAGACAGCCTAGAGCCTGGAAACAAACATCACAGTATTTACAGCTCCATTTTACGTAATATGTAAATATTTTTAAAATGTATACATTGGTACCTGTATTAAGTGGACACCTTCAGACACCTTAAGGCGTCTACTTAATAAAGGGTATGAAATATAGAGGTTTGCTTAACAGTAAATATGGAAAGAAAAAATTCTGATCATGACTCACAGTGCAACTGGGTTGCCATTAAATGAAGTGTGCCTTCTTAATAAAAGCATCACTGTTGTTTTATTTAAGTGTAATGAGGTTTAAAATGTGAATTCAAAAAAGAACTATTAACTGAAGTCAATAGATTYGATACAGCTGCATAATCTATACTTTTGTCAATATTGGCTACATTAGGGTAGGTTTCAATGTCCAAATCCTCTGTGTTTTTTTCTTTGTTTTAGGATTTGCATATGCAAGACAGTAATGATGATGCATATTTGAATTTTCTTTTGAGTTTTGTTGGGTTTAGGTTTAATTACCAGGCAAACATGACAACGTGAGTGACAATTTCTTTGTTATGATTAAGACTATTATTTAATAAGAAGCAAAAATGCCTTCAATTGAAGTCTCAAACCCAAATGGCCATTGATATTCAAGTTAAAAATATAAAAAAATCTGCCAGACGATCAAATCTTAGACATTTCAAAAGTAATYGTAAAAGCTGGTTAGCCTGTTAATTGATTTTCTTATTATCCATTAGATAGGTATTTCTAACATGGTCCTAAATGTGGCTTAATGGATGATAGGGCAACCTAATCAGGTGACCTAGGTCTTGGACTATTAAATTGCTGTGAAAAACATTTAAGATTTTCCTACTGCAACCTCTTAAGAAATAAAACTTGTTTCCAAAAACAGAGTAAAAAGGGTACATCGTAAAATAATGGGAACTAAAGTGAAGACCAAATTTTCAATCAGTTATTATTGAATTATCTTTAGCCATACCTGTGTTTACTGGCATACTTTTGGACGATGGTCGGCATGAGCGCAAATGGACCTCTAGCCTGTCAGGYAGAAATGTCCTTCCACAATTTGGGCAGGGCAAGAGCTGGCCTTTAGAAGATTCAAATGCYAGTTGATTCCTTCTTTCCAAATCCATGCCACCATCAGGTCCCAAGCTGGGTAGAATCTGTGGTTTAACTGGATAGGGTCTTCTCATATGTTTTGGAAGCTGACTGTTTTCTAATTCCCATTTCTTCAAACACTGGGGTTCATGAATGTTGATAGATTTGGTGCCAAATTCCCGTCCACATATATAGCAGACAACAGTCCTTGGTTTTACAGGCATCTTTGGACTGGGACTTCTATATCCTCTTGAACCAGGGCTATTTGATCGTAATTTAGAAGGATCAAAATTCTTTGAAGGCTTAGAGGTATTGTTTGGTCTACAACTACGTTGGTGAACAGCAAGTCTATCAGGATTAAAAGTCCGTCCACAAAACTCACAAGGTAGTAGTTGCATCTGTGAGGATTGGAAGGCCATTTCATTCATTGCTTCTAAGTTACTTGACATCTCCCCTACRCCCCATCCTTGGGGTTTTCTAGGGACAGGTCTGCGCATGTGCTTCGGGAGTTGCCTATTCTCTGCTTTCCATTTTTCTAGGCATTTTGGAATGTGAATTGAAACACTGCTAGTTCCATAAAGCCGGCCACAGATATAGCACACCACATGAGGAGGCTGTCTAGGAGGCATCTTTTCTCAATGTTATCAATCTAGGTGTGCTCTTGAATTTATGACTTTAAATTTAATGTACATACAATATAGTTTTTGTACAAAATATTACGATGTTGAAGGCTATTTGGTTGGCTGGAGTATTCACACCAAGCTAAAAATCACCRCAACTTAGCAACTTTTTTCTGACACCAGTTTATCTTTTGTAGAGTTCTTCATAATCTTTTAATTACTCAGATAATTCCKTGCCTTCACTCGCCGCCATGAAAGAATCCAAGTAATATGTTAAAGTGCGCTATTCTGGATAAATAATAGATGAATTCCGCTGTAACTTAACTGATATGTTTGCCCAACGAAGTAGAAGATGGTTCTGTTCACGTCTAACACCGTTCATAAACGTCTTTATTTCCGACTTGCTCGAAGAAGAAACTTCTAGAGAATRACAAGCACAACATGGTAACGCAAAGTCAACCTTTCAAATCATTTTTTTCAATACTTCTTCCAGTTTTTTGCAATGACAGCTCAGTTATGGAAATAAGAAGACATTCCTCTATTCTTGGCAGTCCTTTCCAGTGATTTCAACGGAAGAAAGAGCGTCAAAACGTTATTTTCTTATACGCTCATGTAGAAAGTAAACAGGCGTCAAGCAAGGCTTGGCAACAGAATTAATCTAATTTTCCCGGCCTTCCGATTTCCTTCCGACTTCCTTCCGATTTGTTGCCGCCACTTCGTACCACCGAAATCTTAGTCGATATTTGTTCGCATTTCAGTAGTACAGCGCATGCGCTGAAGTCCAAACCAAAATTCGTGAGTTGGAGGTCGACTACGAAAAGAAAATGTGGCTTTCGAGGGTAAAAACTTCACCTATTTTCAACCCYACAAAGGTATAACCCTTGGAATACAATGAAACTGTATCTATAGGTGAATCCTGTGGCTGATTTGAGTTTGTTTTCAGGCTACTGGCCTTGCGAGTACAGCACTTCGAGCAACATGTAGCAGAAACTTCCACTTCAAGATCGAAGGAAGACGAAACCAGGACAAGACCTCAAAAGGAGAGGTCAGACCTYATATTATAGCCTACTAATAAAAATTCCTTTTAGGATAGACTGTTGTCTTTATGGTCTTTCTCATTATCCTGTAATACAGCGTATTTTTTGTTATGTAATTCATTTGTTTTGGTAGGAAATCTCAATGTGTTATGCAATAATAAGATGCGTTCGTGACTCTCTGCATGTACTAAAAAAAATTTCTTTACATTCTTGTACACTTTGCATTATTGCTTTTTATTAATATTGTTCCAGTTTGCAATGATCGTGTAATGMGCAGATAGAAATCAAGCCAATCGTTAAAAATTTTACGGTTTTGTCATCGTTTATCTATCTCAGACAAATATAGTAGCAAGATCAGCTGTTTGTAATGTCAACTTTGTTATTATGACTGACGTCTAATATAGTACTTTTTATCCTGGAATGTAAGAGTTTTGAAATTTTCTATTTTGTGTTTGAAGAAATACTTAAACATTAAAAAAAAAGAAAACATGGAAGCATTTATAAATCCCTCCCATCTCATTGATCTACACTTTCCATTTTCCCACTTCTCGATAGCAAAGTTCATATWTTCCATATGATGTTAATTTTCTTTACAGATTTCTCGTGAATACCCAGTGGTAGACCATACCTATGATGCCGTGGTGGTAGGTGCTGGAGGTGCAGGTCTCAGAGCTGCCTTTGGTCTGGCRCAGGAAGGATTCAAGACTGCTTGTRTCACAAAACTATTTCCAACAAGATCTCATACAGTAGCTGCTCAGGTACAATGATTCAATGTGTCAGGTTTAAAAAAACTTCTGCCTTTAAACTTAATTCTGCTAATTCTTTTTGGGAGAAAAACCCCCCAAACCCCCCCCACACGTGCTCCCTAGTAAACAACCCCCCCATGCYCCCTAGTAGACAMCCCCCCCCCCTCATGCTCCCTAGTAGACAAACTAACTTTGCTAAGTTAGAGATTAATGYTTTGTTTTTTTCAGGGAGGAATCAATGCTGCTCTTGGTAACATGGAGCCRGATGACTGGCGATGGCACATGTAAGATGGCATTAACACATAACACATTATTGCACATACATGTACATTCATTATTGACAAGGAAGTGCAATGTAACATTTTATACATTATTATGTAGGTATGATACCGTTAAAGGGAGTGACTGGCTGGGAGACCAGGATGCCATTCATTACATGACAGAAGAAGCCCCACAGGCTGTCATAGAGGTAATAATAATAATAATAATGATAATAATAAAAAATAATAATCTAAGGTACTCTATCTATACAGTTTAATAGCAAACCAGTTTCACTACCCAGAACCAAGTTTTACGAGCCAAAACAAAATTTCACTTATCAAAGTATTTGACTAGTTGACGAACACCAAGTTTAATCCCTGGTGGATTAAATTCACACAATATTTCCTGTAGGACAAATTTTCAAAACTTTTATTTCAGCTTGAAAACTATGGCATGCCATTCAGYAGAACAGAAAAGGGTACCATCTACCAGAGAGCATTTGGTGGTCAGAGTTATGATTATGGTAAAGGTGGACAGGCTCACAGATGTTGTGCTGTTGCCGACAGAACTGGACACTCTCTTCTTCATACCTTATATGGACAGGTATTTGTTTACATCTTAATATGCCTCTTTTACTAGGGCGTAATGTTTTCCCATTTCAGACTTGTCATTCCCTAGAGTATCATTTCTTTGTTTAACTGTTGCACCTGTGAAGATAAATGAATATGGATACAATTCAAACAAAGATATAATTCTCTCTATATATAGGAAATGACACATACTTTTGAAATGGGAAATTATCATGCCCAAAGGTAATGAGTTATAACTGCATTCTCATGTGGTCAGGAGTATGAAGATCTGAAATTATAAGTTATTGTAGGGCCTTGAAACAAATTTTGTGCATAGTATAGATTTTGCTGTATTGATTCATGCCCTAAAAATGAATCAGTGCTGAGGGGGTACCGTAACAACAATCCTCCTCCTCTCCTGCCAAGGTATTGATATACAAGCATCATTTTTTATGTTTATCAGTTTCCTATTCGTTGTATTCTGTAGTCCTTGAGATATGATTGTGAATACTTCATTGARTACTTTGCCCTGGACCTCCTGATGGAAGATGGTAAATGTGTTGGCTGTATTGCTCTCTGTGTTGAAGATGGCTCTCTACACAGATTCAGAGCGAAGAATACTGTCATGGCTACAGGGTATGTTAACTATGTCCATTATTTTATTTCTTGCGTGTGGAAGCCAGAGAGATGCTGGTATATAAATTTGTCATGGTCAGTTGAATCGCATTACTTATCATAATCAGGCTCCAAACTATGTTTAATTTCAACCCAATCAAAGTTCAGAACTTGACAGCAAGTTCAAGAAGTTACAATTTTATGAACTTCATTTTTAAGTTCAAAAGTTGGCCCCCAACCTAATCTTGAAATTTTTGTAAAATCGACTATAATATGCGAGTACAATACACTCTGGACAAACCAAAATTAAAAGCAATTTAGGGTGTGGCAATACCTATTGCACCCCAAGTTAACAGGCCTGTTGTGTATGTAGATGTATGCTTCCTGGTTCCACACAGCCAATACCTAATTCTTTATAGATTTTTATTATGGTTTTCTTATTGGATKCAGAGGGTATGGTCGTGCCTACTTCTCATGTACGTCAGCACATACCTGCACAGGTGATGGTACAGCTATGATATCCAGAGCTGGATTACCGAACCAGGACATGGAGTTTGTTCAGTTCCATCCAACTGGTAAATGATTACTCCGCACTTAATTTGAATGARATTTTTAAAAACTTTTGTTTGGAAAAATGACATGAACTTAACCAACAGTCAAATAACAGTTACCCTTTGTGGAA